AGCAGAGAGGGTGGGTTTTGTTTGCAGGAGAGCAGACATTAGCAGGGATGCACGGTGTCACAGAGCTGCAGTCACAATGTCCTCAGCACTGCTGTGCCAGGGAAATGCTGTTCAGATTATTGCAGGGGAACCATGTCACACTTGCTGCAAGGGCTGGAAGCAGCAGCTCGGGGCTGTTCCCATTATGTAAGGTTTTCCCTGGGGAAACAGCAAGGCAGGAGGCTGCTGTCCCCTTTCCCAGCTCTCCTGTGCTCCCAGTGCCATCAGCCCCTGGGTGCCTGGGTAGAACTGGGGGGATCTGGTCAGGGATGTGAATCTGCAGAGGAGGACTACGAACCCCACCCAGTGCAGGATGCTCCCTCCATAGCCAGAGCTGTGGGCAGAGGATTTCTCCACCCATGACTTAATACCGAAATAATTCTGAACAGAGCAGCTATAAGCCTGATGCTGTATTCAGTGTTTTTTGAGGTTTATTCTTTTTCTTTGGGGGGAGCATGGGAGGGAAGTCTCTAAATGTCCACAAGCGTCACCTTGCACAGGCATCAAATTCTTTTCTCCTCTAAAATTCAGCTGTGATTTGCTGAGGCTCAAAGCTGCAGTGGGATGGCTTCTCCTTCCACCAGGCAAAACCTCCACCATGTGTTTTGTAGTGGCAGTTCAGTGATATAAGTGAAGAGAATGCATGGCAGAGTATGAGGCAGAATCTATTGCTCATACTTCAGGGTGTAAATCAGTCAGAGATAGCTTCAGGTGAGAAAGAAATCTCTTCTCTATATTTAATGCCTGGCTATAAATTTGAGGCCTCTGACTCCCTCTCATGCAGAAATATTGGCTAATGTGTTTTTCGTATATACAAGTGTGCATTTGTCAGTTTGTTGTGCCCACAGTACAGACATTCACAATTTTGATCACAGATGAGGAGTCTCCTCTCCTGAGATTTTTTTTTTTTTTCCAAGTGTAGATTCACTTTAAAAGTCTGCAGAGGATGATGTGCCTGTATTAAATAGCAGCCAGGTGCCCGTGGAGCAGCATTCTTCACAATCCAAAGTTTCAAAAGATTATTTCATAAGAAAAACAAATTCATAGTTTTCTGTCTCCTCAAAGGCCAGTAACACCATAAATATGATGAGGACTGTTAATAGCTAAAGTTGAGTTCAGGTCCCTTAATATATTTCCTCAGTAGTGCAGCCACATGCTTAAAACCACCTTTCCTGGTTATTTTTCAGGCTTTGAAAGAGCAGCACTCTGCAGCCCATGTGAGCTGTACACAGAAGATTGCATGCCTCCTGAAAGGAACTCTGCTCTTTCAAGAGGGTGGGAAGCACTAGAAGCCTCTAATTACAGCAGTGCAAACTGTCAGGTCTTCTATAGTAGGTTGTATTAAAATGTAGTTTGTGTTGATTCACTTTCCAGCCAAGATAACAACCTCACAGGAAACCAGGTTTTTATATCCACTAATTAAAAATTGATATGGCTCCAATGCAGCCTAGATAAGGAGGCACTCACCCCTCGTACTGCCAGGCACTCAAAACCTGCCCTGGAAAGCCAAGCAAAGGCCAGGTATCAGTCATTGCTAATTCCCTGCTGATTCTCCTCTAGGTAATTGTAAAGAAGATCCAAAGGATATTTGATTTCACTGTCCCATAAGAGCTTTATAATCAGGTATGTGCTTCTCTAATAATTTACTGGTTTAATTATATTATGTTGTCCAGGCAAAAAAACCTAATAAAAGCTCATATAGGCATATTTTCCTTTAGCACTCAGCCTTTTTAGGGCTGAGGAAACAGGATAGGAGTGACACAAAAAAAAACCCTAAATATCACTGGCTGGAACCAGAGCTGTGGGGTGGGTGAACCCAGGCGATCATTAAACACTAGAAATAATTCCCTCACATGTGAAACAGCTACATTATGAAGCAAAACAGTGGATTAAATAATGGGTAGCACGCTCTGGGAAGCATCTTTTTGATTTCATAGCTGTGGCTTGGCAAGCTGCCCCTCACTCCTTCGTGTTGCTCAGGCAGTGATGGGAGCAGGACAGCTCCACACCAGGCACTGACAGACAGGGTTGGTTTTTCACATGGAGATCTTCTGCCCTCTCACCCCCCGGGTTCTGTGGTGGGATGAGCTAAAAAGTGGGTACAGCCTGAGGTGATGTGGCTGCTGCTGAAAGTCTCGAGCCCTTCTGGGATGTGACAGCATTTCAGGAGCTGTCCTGCTGTGTATGGACACCCCACAAACTGCAGCTGCATTCGCGGTGTTGTGTAGCTGCAAGGAGAAGGTTAACAACGGGAGAAATTGCTACTTAGTTCATTAATACTGTAGATGTTAGTAAAA